TATTTTAACAAAAGATATTTTGCATGATATTTTATAACGATGTATAAATGCTTTGATTTCTATAAGCTGCAAGCCAAAGGTTCCGCTCCGCACTAGATGTCTCATAAATTTGTTGATAAATTTTGTTTCCAACAAGCCATAATTTCTACAGCTTTGTTTCCTAATGTTGCATTTTAACCTATATAAATTTTGTTATCAAGTTTTATACTTGCGTTATTTTATCTTCTTGAAAAGGCATTATTCAAAATTTTTGCACCTTCTCTCCCCCAGACCAAAAGAAGGCCTACACCCCTGGCCTCACCATTTCATTTCATTTACAAAATGCTATGCAAATTCTCATTGCATAGGCCTATAATGTTATATGAAATTTTATGGTCATATAAATTTTATGAGTTCTATAAATTCTTTTTAATCATGAAGAATGGTCATAGAATTTTTGTGTCGTTGATGACAATACATCCGCATCCAAAGCTAGTTTATTTCCATATGATGGTCATTAAACTCGATAAAAATCTATTTTGGAATTATAAAATCAACAAGACAATATAAAAAAGAGAGTAATGGGTGTCAGAAGATTAAAATCAAAATTAGCGTAAATTGAAACACACACACAGTACATTGTTATTTATTACGTACAATCTCGAATTGACCTCATATCTTCTGCTAATTTTCGGTTTAGAATAGTTATATATTACGGTATATCAGTGCATTTTATATCAAATCAAAAGTTAATTTGTCTTTCTGTCTGATCAGTAAATTCAGAAGCCGTAGACGTAAAATTTGGAATTTTCCTAGTGTAGGAAAATCTTTAATCAGTTATTAGTGGCGGATCCAGTATTAGGCAAAAGATGTGTTTTAGTTTGATGTCAATCATTTGTTGACAAGTACATGTATGGAGTGATCAAAACATGTGAAAAGGAACTTTTTCAGAAACACGGATCTTACACTTTAAGGATGACAAAATTAGGAAATATTGCATTCTTTGCTCAACAAAAATGAACTTGAAATTGTAAAAAAATGAACCAAACTTTTCAGTCAGCCCCCAAAATAAAATTTAAAAATACGTGTCTAGCAGTCAGTTGATAAAGGTCTCTTCTAGAGAGCAAATCATTCTGATTAAGTACTCTGTTTCTTACTAGCTTTTACAAAAAAGTAATTTGTCATCTATATACCAATGAAGCTAAATAGAATTTTTTGAAGAAATGTACAATGATTTAATTTTAGGGATCAGCAGAAAGTTAATGGCTGTATTCACATAAGCAGACTTTTTCACTTGTCTATAAATAATCTTTAATTCTTCTGATATTCAATTATTTAATAATTATTTAATTATTTAATATTTTATTTTATTATTTTAGTGACACATCTATGAATGTTTTAAATATAATAAAATATTTCTTGGTCCATCTAATAGTAATTCATAATTTAAAATAGAAACAATAATTAGGCCAACTAGGTTATGGTATATTAAAATGTTGTTGTCCATGTTTAATTAAATTTCTTCTGGGACTAATTAACAAGAAATTTTGTTGTGAAATACAATAGTGAACATGATTTCTAATAGTAACAACACTTGATATTGAAATTTTTGGAGCATGTTTATGAATATTCTTAGATATACATTCAACAATGCACTAACCTTGACTAGTGTTTTTATCCATCGTATAATTGCATGAAGGAGCATTAACCCTCAATGAAGAGAATTCTACGCAGACAATTAGAGGAGGGAGAAGAGTAGAGGTTAATGTTTGCTATGAACATTTTCATTTCCTTTGGATATTTCCACAATTAAAACATCTTGCCTCCCTAAAAGCATTATGATGATCGTCATTGCTAGTAATATTTTATTGCCTGTTTTAATGGTAATAGATAATGAGTATCCTATAATTAATATCTTATTATCACTGTTGAGCAGGTGCTCCCAAACATTTCATTTTTGTTTTTTTAATCCTTCAAACTAGTCAGCCTTTGAATCTGTCTCTTATACACATCTAGATGTGTATAAGAGACAGCAAACATACACACGTTATATGCACGTTATCGTCTAGGTGTATCTTACCCTAACTATCAGACGGTATGTCAGTGTATAGCAATGAAGTCAATATTTTGTTCTTAATTTTTCCGCAATTTTGACAGTCTCATTCTTCTTATAAAATTTGCTCTTATAAAAAAATTTAATTGATGTTGCTATTAAAACGTACAACGTTACTCGTATCACGATGATCCTTTTATACAGTATACCCCGTCACGGGTTCAATGGATAGATAGCGTATACATACAGTATAATTATGCTTATACCTCTTGAGCGGCCAGCAGTTGAGCAGGACGACGATCCCCAGGATAAGGTCTGTCTCTTATCCACATCTAGATGTGTATAAGAGACAGGGCGAATTCTTTGTACGGTGTGCCACCCTTCGAAGGTTCGCCGTGATAAAGAAGATGAAAACGCTACGTCATCCGTCCAAAGACCGCTGGCGTACCCTCGACTTCACTGACGTGACGTCATGTGTTTTTTGAGCGAGGGGGTGTTCGAGGCTTCGTCATCGATAACATCTCACGCGCTATTTGCTGAACGAGTTCTGGTACCCTTGACGTCACGAAAGTTCGATGACGTCTGCGAACTGTTTTAGCCTGTCTCTTATACACATCTAGATGTGTATAAGAGACAGTATATATATACACACACACTAATATATACTTTATCATTTGGAAAAATATAAAACGTTTATGCTAGCTTTTATGTTGTAAATGTAATTTGAATCGTGATTGAAAAACCATGCAGTGGAGGAAAGATTTGAACCGAGGTGGTACGACTACCTATGCAATATTGACCCCGTTTTTAGTTTGTTCAAACAATCTACAAACGTTTGTCTTGCACTTGTTCAGTTAAGTTCCAGGCTGTTTTCTAATGTAAATCAAAGTTAAGTCTATTATTTTTTTTTTAACAAAGGTGATATACCCATTGTAGCAGCAAGGCTGATGATTTTGTGGACAACAAAACCTATTAAACAGCGTGTGAGAAAGGATTAAGCATGGTCTTAAAATCCCTGACCATTCATACTTTCAATCGCTCAAACTTGGATCAGAAAATTACCTCTCATTATAAGTATTTAAATTTTTTTCAAATTTTATTCACGTTCAAGAGTGAGTGAATTTCTACAACTTTACAAGACAAAATTCACTTCATAATGTTTTGATATTTTTATACAGATTCTAAAATTGTCAGCTCTTTTTGGAATGAATATTGGTGTACTATATAATATATTTTACACAATTTATTGTTTGAACACATTAAACCCCTTAACACTCAAAGAAAAAAAATAGTATAAGTAAAACTTTTAATAAATGTTTCTAATATCACCAATTAATGCCTAACATTAAAGTTTGATGACTGCATTATTTTATTTTTTCTGGGATAAAGGTATAGAATATCTCATAAGTTCTATAGAATAGGGACAAGGGACTTCATATTACAATGTTAGAATTTGAGCCAAAATCTTTTTTATCCTAAAGATTTATAGTAATGTTAGCACAAGGGTTAGGGATTTGACTTTGGTACGAGTGGGGCCAAGTTAAAAACCTGCCAAAGCAGTTTTGACTGGTGTCCTTGGTAACGATTTGTTCTAATTAACTCATCCTTCAGATGAGATGTTGAGCCTTTGGTTCTGTGTGTATAAAAGCTTGGTTTCCAGGAGCTAGCCTAGTCAAGCCTAGTGGTAAAGAAGAGAGTCCCCTCCCCCTCTTCAGGTAACCAACATTTAGAAACTTGCAAATGAAAAGTAGCAAATGTAGTTTCTGGAGAGTGTTTGGCTAAAATATGCAAAACCACCCTTTACATTCAGACTCCAAATGTCACCTGACAAGAATAAATATAGACATTGAACTTGAATCACAAAGTCTTTGTATTTTTGTGTTTGACAATTTTTAGTTTGAAGATTATTTATGTCCACGGTTGTGGAATAACATCAAAATTGACTCTACCAATTTTACTAGCCTTTCATCCTTTAAAAGAAATCTAAAATTACATTATCTAAGTCTGTACCTAAACTGAATTCTGTTCATTTCCGTACATCCTATTTATTTATCTTGTTTATCTATTTATTTATTTATTTAAATATCTTACTCATTTATTTATTTATTTTATTTTATTATTTTATTCTTTTTCCTTTTTTATGGATCCTCTCGAGACATTAA